CTTTTAACTAATTAGGCTAATATCTGCCTAAGGGTCTAAAATAACCTATAGTTATCTCTCTAGGGTTGTCTCCCTAGCTGCGCTATATATGCGCTTTATGCCTAGTAAGATATATATTAGAATGCGCCTTACTATCCCTAGGTTATTAGTAAGGCTTAAGCTTTTCCTATCTTATTAATACGCATAGGGATCTAATTTAGGTTGCTACTTTTACACTTATTAGCGTAGTAGCCTTTCTTTTAATATTTAAAATAGGTAATACTATTCTTGTCTTAAGGTAGCTTATTTATAGGAGGAGGTAGCTTCTCCCCTAGCTTCTAGTCCCTATATCTAGTGTTTCCTTTAGGACGTGTGTTATAATCACGCGTTAGGGAGGGTTAGCGCAGGTTTTACTTAAGTGTAGAGCCTAACGCTATTAAATCCTCTCTTGTTACTAGTACTTAGTAGTAGTTAGTAATTACTTGCTATATCTCTAGCCTTAGCTTTAAGAAAAGATGCTAGACTCTCTATTATTTAGTGTAGGGAGTAAGTTAATCCTCTAGGACTTTAAGGTATATTACAAAGGAATAAACTGTTTAGTCCCTACGCTATGTTGCCTAAGCGTGCGTTATAGCTGCTTTAAGTATATAATTAATAGGGTTAGAGAGTAAGTTAAGTATATACGCCTTAAAATACAACTAGGTTACTATTATAGTAGTTGCTCTAAACGTGCGCTTAAAGTACGTGTACTATAGTTCTTAGGGGTCTCCTGCTAAGTACTACATAGCCTAAAGAACCTTGTCCTTATTATAGTAGAAAGTCTACAGTAATAGTAGAAAGGCTCCCTTATAAGAGCAAAAGAATTTGTAATATTCCTTAAGGTTTTTTCCCTTATATTCTAATAGATCCTTTAGTTTTAGCATGCGCTTTAAAGGTAGGGGCGTTAGCGCCCTAGATGCGCCCCGCTTATGCGTATTTTTAAGTGTCTTAGGGACATCCTCTATTATACTCCCTATTAAGTCTAGGGTAGTGTCCCTTTCTAGGCTTTTAAGGTGTAGGATCTTAGCTTCTAGTTTGCGTAGGCGTTATAGTTTCTAGAGTTTATCGCGTCTCCTTTAGGTAGCTTAGATGCGCTTATTAAGCGTCAAGTCTACGTCTAGTATAGGGGTTTGCCGCTTATCGCTTAGGGGGGAACTGCTTGCTAGTTCTTCCCTTAGTTGCGGCTTAATAGGGGGTGGTTATATTTTTGCTAGTAGTACCTCTTAGCTATTTACGCGCGTAGATAGAGCTATCTCTAGACTATTAAATAGGAAGTATTATTATATAAGGTTCTAGTTATAGGCAATAGTATTTACTTTATACTAGATAGAATAGTGTAGAGATAGCTATTAGTATAGTATTAACACAAGAATAATACTTGTCTTTCCTAAGCCCCGCGTGAAGCGCAGGTTTTGCACAGCTTAGGCGCCAAGATACTAAACCTAGCTAGGGATGCACCTAATTAACTAGAACACTACAAGGTGTCTTCACGATAGGGTTGTTACATAGAGCTAGAGGGGTAAGAGCTAAGGCAGGAGCGCCCTTCCTTAACTTCTTAATCTTACCTATAGTAGTAGTAGCTATACGCTTAGCTACTATATACTCTATAATAGCCTTACGTTTAGTAGTAGTATGCTCTTCTTTAGTAGTAGTAGCTTTAGTAATAGTAGCTTTAGTAGCGTAGGAGGTAATAAGGGTAGTATAGGTAGAGCACGTGTAAGTAGTAGATTTTAACTTTAACTAAGATATAGGTTAGTAAGGATATAGGTATAGTTTAGATCTTTAGAGTTATATAATCCTATAATTTAAGCTATAGTAAAGATTATAGTTAGGTAGATAGAGTTATAGAGCTTAGTCTAGCTAATATCTAAGCGCGTTAGCGCAAGCTAAATAAGGAAGGCGCGCTAGTTAGTATCTAAAGGGTAAGCTAATTTAACCCTTTAGATATATAGCACTCTAATTAGCTACACTACCTACTACCTATAAGCGTAACTACAATAATAAAAGATCTACCTATACCTAGGGGGTGTATTATAGGAGGGATATTAACTAGATTATAGAGTATCTTAATCTAATTAATCCTAATTAATACCCCTATATAACCTACTATATAATTAACTACTAGCTTACTACTAAGTGCCTAATAAAAAGTAGGAGCTCTAGTAAGGAAGGTTTACTAATTATTTACCTTCTAGTAAGGGTAGCTAAAGCTCTATATATATAAGTCCGATCGTAGTAGAGATAATATAATAATCTATCTCCTAAATTATTCCTAACCTTAGTGATCCAGATTTCTATATTAGAAGGTAGAGCTCCTATTATTACAAACACTCTAGGACCTTTAGAGCTTAATCTTATATTATTCTCTTAGAGCAGTAATAAGTAGATCTTAGTAACCTATAGAAGGTTATAAGTTAGCTATCCTATTACTAACTTTTTAATAATTCTTTAAAATATAGTTTAACCCTAATTAAGTAAGATCCTACTAGATAGAGCTTTTAGATAGTCCTATACTATAAGCTATCCTTTAATATTAGGAATATTATACACCTTAGCTTGCGTGTATAGGATTACTTACTCCTTCTACTAGTAATTAGTATCTTAGCTACTTATCTTTACCTTAGCAAGATAAGCTTTGTACTGTATTCTTGCTAGTATTATAGCGCTTAAATTAATTAGCGCTAGGTTATTATAGAGCTCTTAGATTAGTGCTTAAAGTATTACTCTTCCTTAATTAATAAGCCCTATATAGGCTAGGGTAAGGATCCCTTAATCTACTATATTATTAACCTATATAAAAAGGTTCTAGATTGCTAATAACTTTAATACCTAATCTAATAAGCAAGCTTAGTACTAGGCTATTTAGAGCTTATACTACTTGCCTGTTATATTAGATACTATAATACCTATTAGTATACTAGGCTTGTTAAGTCTATTCTTAAAGTAGTTTTTAGTATCTAGAGTATTAGGGTCTACCTCTACCTAGATTACTTTAGTTAAGGCATAGTATCTAAATTAAATATACTAGGTAGCCTAGTTAGTTAATCTAGTAAGCAGGATATCTCCCCTTAGAATTTAGTTGCTTATAGTAGAAGAGTAATAAGTAAGCTTCTATTTAAGAAATAGTGTAGAAAGACAGAGCTTGCTAGCTTAGTAATTAAGTTAAGTAGTACGCTTAAATAGATATAACAATCTTTAATAAGGTAAAGCGTAACCTAGGCTTATAACTATAGAAATTTAGATTACTAATATTAGGAATAATTTAGGAGATAAATTATTATATTATTTCTACTACAATTAGACTTATATATATACAGCTTTAGCTACCCTTACTAGAAGGTGTATAATTAGTAAACCTTGCTTACTAGAGCTCCTTCTTTTTCTTAGGCACTTAGTAGTAAGCTAGCAGTTGATTAGATAGTGGGTTATACAGGGGTATTAACTAGGATTAATTAGGATTAATTAGGATTAATTAAGATTAAGATGCTCTATAATCTAGTTATTATCCCTTCTGCAATACTTATCTATATATAGTTTAAATTCTATAGTTATATACTAGAAAGAGAAATTTACCTTTAGACTATTATCTAGTTAGCTAACTAGAAAGGGTTTATAATATAGAGTAGAAAAGGGTATAGGTAAGGTTATTACTAATAGTAGGCTTAATAGAGGGTTAGCGTAGTATCTAATTATATATTTCCTTATTCTACTAATATAGTATAACTATTATAGCTAAGTCTTAAGCCTATTATTCTATTAATCCTTAAACCTACTATATTAGCCTTTCTACTATATTAGGTTATACCTAACTATTCTAAATATCTAGCGTGTCTATCTCTATTACTATTATAGTATATTTAGAAGAAGATACTAAAATATTATTAACTAGACTTAAGGAAGAATATAATAAGCGTTAATAATAGTATTTAGTATCTTAAAGAAGAGAGGTAAGCCCTCTACGCATTTTTATAGGTGTGTAGCGTGTTTACCTAGTAGTAGTATTAGACTCTATCTATCTTATATTAGACCTAGGCTTAGGTGTAAGCCTAAGCCCTTTATGTTTAAGTATATATACATTTTATAAGTAGTATTAATTAAAGCTTTCTTTTTAATAGCTTTAGTAGCAACACACTTAGTAGATTTAGTAGCTTTAATAGTAGTATACTTAGCCTTAATAGTAGTAGTAGCCTTAATAGTATAAAAAGTATTAAAAGTAGTATAAGTACAAATCTTAGTATAAGTAGTAGTTTTAGACTTTACCTAATATATAGATTCGTAAAAATATAAATATATATTAGATTCTTGTATTATACAAGCTTATAATATACCCTATAGTAAAGGTTATAGTTAGCTACTAAAAGCGTAGAGCTTGCCTCTAATATTATTCTACTATATAAGTATATACACACGCTAAACCTAATAAGACAAGTATATAGATAATAATTAAATAAAGATCTATCTATACCTATAGGGTATAATATTATATAGATATTAACTAGATTATAGAGTATCCTTATCTAATAAACTAATCTAAATTCTAATTAATATCCTTCATCTATACCCCTGCCTAATTAATAGCCTAATGTACTACTAGCTTACTACTAAGTACCTAATAGAAAAAGAACCTTTAGTAAGGAAGGTTTACTAATTATCCACCTTCTAGTGAGGGTATCTAGAGCTCTATTTATGTAAGTCCCATTGTACTAGATATAATCTAATAATCTATCTCCTAAATTTATCACTTGCTTAGTAATCTAAATTTCCCCAATACCATAGTATTTATACTAGGTACGATATCACTTTTATATACTAATCTAGTAGTGTGCCAATATCGCCAAATCTTTCATACCATATACCTTTCCCATTGTCTAGATGCGCTTTTAACCTATCATTTTGTGTATTGCATCGCAGAAGAAAAAAGTAACTACACATGATAAATGTACCTGTCTAACGCCCAAAACCAGCTTCACATGCTGTGCAGCCTAGCTAACCCATCTCCTTGCACTCTTGAACATTCTGGACCATGGCCCCAAATCACCCCACTCCCCATTTACGTCTCTTGGGATATAACTGGCCACGTCTTTCAAAATAGTACGCTCAGGGTGAGGCATGAGCGCCATAACCCTTCCATCTACGCTCCTCACTCCACCAATGCCCATCGGCGAACCATTGGGGTTATAGGGATATTCTTCTGTCTGCTTTCCATAGTTGTCCACATATCGCAGCGAGACTAGCTTCTCATTGTATAATTTCTGCGGTGATGAGGACAAAGAAGGGGAGTTGGAGAAGTGCGCACGTCCCTCTCCGTGAGCAGTCACAATAGGAAGTTTGGAGCCTGCCATGCCATGTAGAAACACAGAGGGAGGAGTGCTAGTACCCTTGGTGTCGAGCACCTCCACCATGCATACACGTGCTTCGTACTGCTCTGAAGCATTGCGCTCGAAGGTTGGCCAGAGTTCCGCACCGGGGATGAGATCTTTGAGCTTGGAGAGAAATTGGCAGCCGTTGCAGACGCCTAGGGCGAATGTATCTGTGCGTTCGAAGAATGTCCTGAATTCTTTACGTGTGTTGGGATGTAGGAGTACGGACTTCGCCCATCCTTGTCCAGCGCCGAGGACATCGCCGTAGGAGAAGCCGCCACAGGCTGCGAGACCGACAAAGCCGGCAAGAGAGACACGCTCTGAGATGATATCAGTCATATGGACGTCAATGGCGGAAAATCCAGCCATATGGAAGGCAAATGCCATTTCCGATTGACCATTGACACCTTCCTCGCGGAGAATGGCGACGCGGGGTTTTGATGTGAATGCCGATGATATGGTGGCTTTGAGGGGGAGAATATTTTCAGAGGGCTTGAAAGTCAGGTCATATGATAGACCAGGGTCGTTGTCATCGAGGATTTTGGAAAATTCCGACTCGGCACAAGAGGGGTTATCCCGTAGCTTCTGCATACGGTAAGAGGTCTCTGCCCATCGCTGTTGGAGCTTCGAACGGTTATCACGGTAGAACACCTGCGAACCGAAGGCGAAGGAAATCTCTTGTTTTGAAGCCACGGGAACACGACCAATCTTTCGGATCATGCCTGGTGGTGGACCGCAGGTTGCAAAACACCGATTGAAGGCTACTTCATCCTTCTTCCTCAGCTGGAAGATAGCGCCGAGCTCTTCATTGAAGAGCGCTTCAAGGACATCCTTGGGCTCTCCCGAGTGGGAAACTTTGTCAAGCATGACTTCCAAACCGCATCGACCGGCGAACATCATCTCCACGAGAGTAGTGAACAGACCACCGTCAGATCGGTCGTGGTAGGCAAGGACAATGCCAGACTCGTGCAGTTGTTCAATGGCATCGAAATAGTCCTTGATGACATCGGCATCGTAAACATCAGGTGCTTCATCGCCAACTTGACCAAAAGTCTGTGCCAGCGCGGAGCCGCCAAGGTGTTTCTTCCCTGCTGCCAGATCAACAAACATCAAAATGGTCTCGCCAACATCTTCCAGACGTTCCAGCGCAGGTGTCCAAGTGTGATCAATTCGGTCGACAGGTGCAAATGCAGTGATGACGAGCGACATGGGTGCGGTAACCTCCTTTGCTTTGCCATCGTCTGACCACTTCATCTTCATACTCATAGAGTCCTTGCCAACTGGGATAGAGATACCCAGCTTAGGGCACAGGTCCATACCAATGGCCTCAACAGCCTCGTACAATGCAGCACCCTCGCCTAGATGGCTACTAGCCGACATCCAATTCGCCGACAGTCTGATACGTGAGAGTCTATCGGGTGTGCTCGCTGCTGCGATGTTCATGAGGGATTCTGCGACTGCCATCCTAGCAGAAGCAGCTGGTGAGATTAATGCAATCGTCGGTTTCTCTCCCATGGACATTGCCTCTCCAGTCTTGACACCTGCTAGTAGCGAGGTCGCTGTTACAGACACGTCTGACACGGGAACCTGCCATTTCCCTACCATTTGATCGCGAACTGTCAAGCCACCGACTGATCGATCACCAATAGTAATCAGGAAGGATTTAGAGCCTACAGATGGAAGTGTGAGGACTCGATCGACAGCTTCGGCGATTAGGCCATCCTTTGGTGTGTCGGGGATGTACATGGATAAGCTGCTGTCGAAGGCGGGCAATCGCAGCTTGCGCGACTCTACGATACGTGACATCTTAGGTGGTTTTCCGAATAGGGTTGACATTGGTAGGTCAATCGGTGTGGGCGTCTCTTTCGAGTCTCTGTCCTTCAGCACCAGCCGTTGCTCATCTGTCGCCACACCTACGACTGAGTAGCCACACCGCTCACGCTGACAAATGCGCTTGAACAAATCGAGCTGTTCAGGACCAACTGCAAGTACATAGCGTTCCTGGGCCTCACAGCACCAGATTTGAAGGGGGCTCATGCCCTTATCAGCATTGTCAATATCCCGCAGCTCGAAGATAGCACCAAGGCCTGAGTCGTGAACAAGTTCGGGCAAAGCATTGGACAGTCCGCCGGCACCAACGTCGTGAATGAAGAGAATGGGATTGTTGTCCCCCATTGAGCGACAAGTATCGATGACTTCCTGTGCCCGCCTCTGCACCTCTGGGTTGCCTCTTTGTACGCTAGCGAAGTCGAGGTCAACATTGCCTTCACCAGACTGGATGCTTGATGCAGCTCCTCCGCCAAGGCCAATAAGCATGGCTGGACCACCGATAACGAGAAGATGCGAGCCAGCAGGTACCATGTCTGGGTTCTTGAGTGCATGCTGTGGTCGGACCGTACCAACACCTCCTGCTAGCATGATTGGCTTATGGTAACCACGTATTTCAGACTCCTTCTCGTTTGTGAAGACGCGCATCAGCATTGTCCTGAAGTAACCGATGGTGCAAGGACGACCGAATTCGTTATTAAACTGGGCGCTGCCCAGTGGAGCCTCGAGCATAATGTCGCGACTACTAGCAATGTGAGATGGTTTGCCAACGTCACGCAGCTCCCATGGCCTTTCAAAGCCTTCGATCAGCAAATCTGAGACGGTAAAGCCTGCCAACCCAGCCTTGGGCTTGGAGCCACGGCCAACAGCACCTTCATCTCTAATTTCACCACCAGAGCCGGTAGCGGCACCAGGGAACGGCGAAACTGCAGTAGGATGGTTATGTGTCTCTACTTTGCAGAGTATGTGCACTGTCTCTTTAGTCCCGTTCCACTCGCCAGTGAGGTTGTTGGGGGCCCAGAAGCTGGCCTCGTCTCCATTGAGCACGGCAGCGTTGTCACTGTAAGCACTGACTACGTGCTGTGGATGCTTTTGATGGGTATTGCGAATCATGCCAAATAGCGAATACGACTTGTGCATGCCATCAATGGTGAAGTCGGCGTTGAACTGCTTGTGTCTGCAGTGCTCTGAATTGACCTGGGCAAACATGAAGAGCTCCACGTCTACAGGACCCCTCTTCAGCTCTTGTGTATATGCTTGTACCAGGTATTCAATCTCCGATTTGTCCATGGCCAAGCCCAGCTCGCGGTTGGCTTGCTCCAATGCGGCTTGGGCATTGCTGTACTCTTCAAACTTGATGGTAGTGGCCTGCGCAGGCTCGCCTTCACCGAAGAGGGCCTCGAGGTCAGGTGCATTGCGGCTGATGGTCTGGGTCATGCGGTCGTAGAGGCTGTCGCGGTTTAGGATCTCATCCGCTGCGGGCGCGTGGTCAAAGGTGGCTGCGATAACCATGCCACGCTCGATGCGTTTCACCGCCTTGTTGAGAGTACAAGTATGCGCAATCATAGAAGCCAGCGAGCTCCAAGGTGAGATGGTACCCGCACGGGGGCTGACGTAGAAGAGCACTGTCTGGTCGTCTCGAGGCTCGCTACCACGGTGGACAGCATCGAGAAGGGCCTGCGAGAGGCTGTCTTCAGTGGAGGGGTATTCACCATAATGTAGAAGCTGTTTCAGCGTCTTCAAATCCTCATCGTCCAACTCTTTCAGCGGATTGACAAAATGCAGCCATGCAGAGCGGACTTGGATTGCGCCAATCTGCTGCGCCAACCGTTGTAGGCGAAAGTCCGAGTGGGCAGACGACCCCGGGAGCATCAAGTACGGACCCGCACGGGACGCCATAGTGGGAGACGGGAGAGGTCGAGTTGTACGTTGAGGCCGAGTCTGCAATTGCGCGTGTCTCGAGACAAAAGCGACCATTGACCCATGGCTGGCCAGGGCGGGGGTGAAAGACTGAGAAATTTAAAGTGGGGCAAAATGGCGGGGTTGCCTTGCTTCCTCTCATAACTAACTTTAAGTGGAAGTGGTGGCATGCCATCTGACCATGGGACCGCCCAGACATGGCATGGCCTAACTAGATAGGGCAACCACCAGCGAACTGTCTTATAGCTAATCAAGGTTTTGTATACTATTAGCCACGATACTAGAATAGATTTCTATAGAAACTTAGATTACTAAGCTTAGGAATAATTTAGGAGATAGAGTATAACATTATATCTACTATAATAGGGATTATGTAAATAGAGCTTTAGCTAACCTTACTAGAAGGTGTTTAATTAGTAAACTTTCTATAGTAAATCTTCTTTTCTAATTTAGGAACTTAGTAGTAAGCTAGTAGTAGATTACTTATGCGCTTAGGTAGTTTAAGTAGTATATAATTTGCTACCTAATACTACCTATTACTACCCATCGTTGCGACAATTAACACTATGTAATAAGGAGAGTAGATAGGTAGTTGTTGCAGGAGGGATATCAACCAGATCACGGAGCATCTTGATCCAATCAATCCCAATCAATACCCCTGTATAACCCACTATCTGATTAACTACCAGCTTACTGCTAAGCGCCTAACAAAAAGCAGGAGCTCTAGTAAGGAAGGTTTACTAATTATTTACCTTCTAGTAAGGGTAGCTGAAGCTCTATATATATAAGTCTAATCGTAGTAGATACAAGGTCTAATAGATCTATCTCCTAAATTATTCCTAACCTTAGTAATCTAATTTTCCACAGTTATAAGCCTAGTTCGCGCTTTACCTTATTAAAGATTGTCCTATCTATTTAAGCGTATTGTTTAACTTAGACACTAAGCTAGCAAAGCTTTACTCTTTCTTTATACTATTTCTTAAGCAGAAGCTTACTTATTACTCTTCTACTATAAGCAACTAAATCCTAAAGGGGGATATCCTACTTACTAGATTAACTAACTAGCCTACCTAGTACATTCAATTTAGATACCATGCCCTAACTAAAGGGATCTAGGTAGAGGTAGACCCTAAGGCTCTAGATGCTAAAAACCACTTTAAGAATAAACCTATTAAGCCTAACATGCTAATAAATATCGCGCTATCTAACATAACAAGCGAGCAGTACAAGCTCTAAATAGCTTAGTACTAAGCCTACTTATTAGATTAGGCATTAAAGTTATTAGCAATCTAGAACCTCTTTATATAGGTTAATAATATAGTAGATTAAGGGATCCTTACCCTAGCCTATATAGAGCTTGTTAATTAAGGAAGAGTAACTCTCTAAGCACTTATCTAAGTGCTCTGCAACAACCTAGCGCTAACTAATTTAAGCGCTGTAATACTAGTGAGATTGCAGTATAAAGCTTATCTTGCTAAAGCAAAGATAAGTAGTTAAGACGCTAATTGCTAGCAAAAGGAGTAGACAATCCTATATACGCAAGCTAAGGTATACAACGTTCCTAATGTTAAAGGATAGCTCGTAGTACAGGATTATCTTAAAGCTCTATCTACTAGGATCTTACTAGATTAGGGTTAAACTATGTTTTAAAGGATTATTAAAAAGTTAGTAATAGGAGAGCTAACATACAACCTCCTGCAGGTTACTAAGATCTATTTATTACTTCTCTAAGAAAACGACATAAGATTAAGCTCTAGGGGTCCTAGAGTATTTGCAACAATAGGAGCTCCACCTTCTAATTAACTAAAGAAGGAGTCTTCATGCCTATGTGGTAGATCTTACCTATAGAAACCTCCTAAATGTAAAAACGTTATTAAAGCTTAGACTAATATAGGTGACAAGCTTACTACCACTTAACAATTAGAGATTAAGAAAAGGATTAATAGGAATTAAAAATTCAAAGAGTTAAGGAAAGCTCTAATCAAGTCCTATCCTATTAATTAAGATTATAGTGGTAAGGCAAGCACGATTACCTATCTAGGTAGTATCTAGGCGGCACTAATTAACCCTATGTTAATAGCGGAGAAAACGAACAGGATCTATTTAACCATAGACTTTAAAGCTCACGCTCTATTAAAGAGCACTATCTTTAACAATAGAGGTGCAGTGCACCTAGTTAATAATATAAGCTACCTAGAAGAAAGCTTGTTTAGATTGGTTAAATATAAGACAGTTAAAGCAGGAACTTAAGCTTTTCTAATCTTAGGCAGAGGGACTAGAGTGATCCCTAATGCTCTTAATAGACCAAGAGGTCCAAAAACAGAAGATTTGGTGCTTACTAACGTGGTGTTAGTAGAAGGTTTTTATGTGAATATTATATTAGAAGCTTGATTGCTTAAAGCAGGAGTTTGGTTCCTTAGGCTAGATGCTACCTTGCGGTTTAGATTATTAGAAAAGAGCGTTATATTAGCCAAGTTACTGCGCAAGTTTAACTTAACTTTCCTAGAATATAAGCCCTCTACCCCTTATTAAATAATCTAAAGCATAGTGCCTAAACAACACTAACGATCCTAGACAACTTACCTAAGACACGATAGTAAGGAGCTTTAGCACTAATAATTAGGCTATTTAGGACCTAAGGCGCTTAAAGCTCTAGTTAAGTTAGTAATAAACGTTAGGATTAAAGGAACTCCTAGGAGCAAATGCGAGCACTACGCTATTACACATGCCTAACAGGTTATATTAAGATAACTAAGGGAAAGATTACCACGTCTATACTACTAGGTATTATAGGATCTATTTAACATGCTAACAGGTATGGCTTACGAGCAATAGATCTTAGTATTAAAGTGCGACTACTTAGGAAAGCTTTATACCTATCTACTGCAAGCTAAAAACCTTAATAAGATTATGCGGGTGTTCAAAAATTTTAAGAGCTTAATACTTAACTAATATAAGCTTAGTATAGTTAAGATTATACAAGATAACGACGTTGCAACGCTCCCTTAGCGTGGCGAATCTCGCTTTTAGATCTAGGTATCTAACAATAGTATTAAAATTAAGAGCTCACCTGTATATACCTATAAACCTAATAGAGGAGCAGAAAGAGTAGGGCAAGAGATTATAACAAAATTAATTAAAATAAGGATTAGTGCTAACCTACTAATAAAGCTCTAGCCTAAAATTGTTAAAGTAGCAACTTAGCTCTATAATATAAGCCTGTCTTATACTTACAATATAATATTACCTAACAAAGTGCTAGATTGTTAGTTTACTAGATACTTTAGGTAGTGGCAACTAGAGCAGATAAGGGAGGCAACTACTAATCTCCGCCCTAATTAGAGCGGAATATACGCCTATGGCTGTTAAGCTTACCCCCTTAACCAAGATCAAGCAGCCAGGCGTTACAAGAGGGTTTTCAAGGTGAACCCTTAGGGTTATATTAGATATCTAGTGGGATATAGAGCATCTAATATATACAGGATATAGATCCCCTTGCTTAATTAGATTATTATAACGTGGAACGTTACCTTTAATAAGGATCTTTTCTATAAAGAGAAAGATCTAGAGTAGCTTTAACAGTTAGAAGCTTAAAAGATAGTTAACGTTATTAGCAAAGATAAGATCTGTAATACAGGAGAAGCGTATAAAGAGCTTAATATCTTTAATTAGCTTTATATTGTGGCAGAGCAACATAAGGAGTCTAGTGAGCAAGGAGGACTAAACCTAGTGCAGGAGCTAGGGGGTAGGGTAGAGCTAGAGGAGGTAGATAATTAGGCTAGCTAGCCTAGTGATTCACAACCCCCTGAGCAGACACCTCTAGCGTGGGTACTAAGCACGGCTAGCTTGGCACAAAGGATCTATGCAAAGTCCCCTAAGCTAATAGGGCTCTAAACTCCTAAACTAACACTAGAACTAAACTTTAGTATAGGATACGAAGGATCTATACAGGTTATAGATTAAGGTCTTACTACCTAAGATAGTAGTAATCTAACTCACTTTAACGCCACAATAGGTAGCTCCTAGGAAAGACCTAGAGGGGAGAGTGCTATTGATAGGTCACTCTATAAGAGCACAGAGATAGGTGAGGGCACCCTATCTAGTTCTTATAGGGGTAGTGAGCAGAGCTCCCGCCTACCTGCTTTAGGACTAGATTCTATATCTCCTGCAGATCCCTCACAAGCGGCACCTAGAGCTCCTAGAAAAAGCAGAAAACCGCGAGTTAAAGGACTACCACTAACGCGTGTTAGTAAGCGAGCTTAGGGACAGGACCCTAATAAACCACTAGGAGGCTCTATAAGTGCGGGGATATACATAGTGATAGATCTATTAGATATAGATCTAATTAGAAATCCCTTGCATAATCTTTTAGTACATCCTAAACTAAACGCTATAATCCACGCTGTGATCGCAGCAGTGATAGGGAGCAAATCCCCTAAAAACCCTAAAAGAAATACGCACTAGGACGCTCTACAAAAAGAGCCAAAACAATAGAAGGATCTCCATAACTACTAAATAGGACAGCAATTTAGAGACGCAGCACATAAAGAAATTAATACTCTGCTAAAAGCTAGTACCTAGGAGGAGATTAATAGGCTAAATACAGGAGAGCGTCTACTCCTACTTAAATAGGTGTTTACATACAAGCTTAATTAGGATAGTTACCTAATTAAGTGCAAAGCAAGGATAGTAGTAAGAGGAGATCTATAGCTTACTAACTTAATTTATTTAACCTACGCAGCTACCCTAGCAGCTTGAACCTTTAGGACTGCAATAGCTATTAGAGCCAAGTTTAACCTTGAGATATATTAATATAACGTTGTTAGAGCTTTCCTTAACGCCTTAAGAGATTAACACCCTACAGTTATCTGCGAGCAACCTAAAGGATATTAAATACCTAGGAAGTGCGTTAAGCTTAAACGAGCTCTATATAGACTAAAAGACTTACTATTATTATAGTATAATAAGCTCTTAACTAC